AGAAGTTTGAGCTCTGGTTGCCATAACAACTGGAAATTCCTCTGATATATTTTGGGACCTTTCGTTTGATATTGCTAGACTAGATTCGTTCAGCAGTTATCAGTCACCTTACCGTACACCTGAAAGTTTCTTCCATTGTCTGCCGTTTCTTCCACCAGAAGTCATACCCTTCCTAGGAAGTCTATGTCGAGTGTTGCTAGGTATTGGTCGGCGGCAGTGGAAATCCATCGGAGATGTCAATTAAACCCTAGGTGAAGGGTTAGAATTTTTTGCCCGAAGGCCGCAATCTAAGTTTTATTCGTGGCCTGCAGTGTGACGAGGGACTTTTGTCCACCCGACTTGGTCTCTGTTTTTCGTATGACACTGAGTACATCTGTTGTGTTAATGCCAGAGGTTTTGCCTTTGATATCCTGACTCAGTGTTCTCTAAAAGAGAAGGGTTAAATCGTTACCCTGTTGCCCTTGAGGTGCCTGAGGCCAGATGCATGGTTGTGTTCACTTCATTGACAGTGCACCTGTAGGGTCCCTACAATGCAGTATGCTGTAGCCACTCAGGTGTAGTGGGTGATAAGGGAATTGAGAAGGATGGGATAAGTAACAAAGTTGGAACCATGTATTCTTTGTGATTTGCAATGCTTTCTTTATCTTTTGAATGATGAACGCTCTTTCGGTGTGTTCGTCTCTAACTGCTCCCTGCCGAGCTTTTGAAAATGAAGGTTTAAAAACAACCAGTTCTCTGCAATATCACAGGCTGTCGGTCTGTAGTTTGAGTATTTATTTTGACAGAGTATTTGGTTTCTTAACGCGAAAATCACGTGTGATACCAACAAAATTTCCTATTGATAGGGTTTTTCTGTGTGTTCTCCTTGACCTAGGAAGTTCTCTGAGTCAATTGCCCTGTGTAACCTGTATTAGTGCGGGTGTCTTCGTTAGTGACCAACATGTGCTTCATATGTTTTCCTGTCAAGCATATCCCTTCCATAATTTGGTATACAAAACATGCTTGTTGCTTGCCTGTGTTGTTACGATCTCGAGTATCAAGGATATTGCTGAACACACTCCGAAACGGCTTGCATATAATCTTGAACTATTGGTATCTTTCTTAATATGGTGCACTTTACTCGTTGTTCTGTGCCGGGCGATATCTGTGATGTAGGTGTACCTGACATTTTATCCTATTCATGCGTTTGTTTTCAGGTATCAAGACGCAGTTAAACTTTCGCGCTTAGGTACGATATATGGTTACTCAGGCTGAGGTGAATTGCGAGCATAACACACTTCCGTGTAGATGGTATCCTGAGATTTAATGCTTCACAGATCGAAATCGTACCGTAGTTGAGCAGGCCACAGTTCCGGACCAGACCCAGGAAGTCCAGGTATTCTAAACTTTGAGGTGACTGAAGAATCTGCTTCCATAGCAAAATTGTAATTAATAAAATCAGATTCCTCAAGTACTGGGGAAGATATTGCAGTGAACATAAGCTAAGCTGATATGGAAATCCAAGAAAACAACCAAAACGTATTGAAAAAGTATTTGATTTACATCTCCGTACAAAAGAGAGGAAAGCTTGTAGTAGACGAATCAGGCTGACCAATTTAGTTACCGACTGTCCTCCCAAATTATTCACCAACATGACTCACCAATAACGAGTATATAGTACGGTTGTAATTTGAACATAAGTTTCAAATGCATATTGACGGGCGAGTGATGCTATTAGTCTAGGAATTCACCATCAAATACCTTTAATTAGAAAAGGAGAGCTTTACATATCATGGAGAAAATGTAGTTCCTATTTGTTAACTCATCTCATCCTTCTGAGTTTCTGTGAACACTAACTGCTTGTAAGTGAACATTTCTATCTTTAGAGACTGAGGGTGTTGACGTTCACGGATAGCACGAAGTATGCTAACGCAAGATCTAATACACACAACCTCAACAGTATTCGTTGCGCGTAGATCAAAAGCAAAGCAAAACACAAGAATTGATCGTCCAAACTACGACTCATATTTTGGGACCAAATTGAAGTGCGAGATGATTGCTCAACTAGCTAGGGATCGTGCTCGAACGAACGAACGAACGCAACACGACAACGTGCCAAATGGCGTGGATGCTTGACCGGAAGCCTTCAGCTAAACAGTGAGGGTCAGCATCCAGTGTTCAGTGATGAATGCTGTGGCCAATAATTCTGGGGAATCATCTGCCGCTACAGCTCACTCACCTCCTAGTGTTGTTGTGAGGACCCTAAGACAAAACAAGCCGGAAGTAAAATACCCAATTGTTTTCCCATCGGTGAAACTCTTCCGACCGTCTTGATGTAGTACCTACTAGTCGCCTCCCTATGCCAATAGGGTGTCTGTACATTGCTTCGTCTATGTTTGTCCGTTGGATCGTGTGCTTCGTTTGTTTCTTGTCAAGTACCTGTCTCCCCTGGAAAAGAAAACAAGAATGCTAAGAACCTTGTTGAGGAAAATGTACCAAAAATAACGTTTGAAAAACTACCCTATAGTAATTGAAAACAGTATGTACCTAACTTTTTAGTGGATGTAATAAGTATGGTTAAAGAACAGTATTCTGCTTTTGCTGCGGGATGCAATATAAATAATTGATGTGTCTGAAAGAAAAAATCAATAAATACCACAAGCGAATGAGAATGGGGTGAATCACATCACTAAGTTACGTGATATAAGTGTGAAGATGCTCCCGGAACCTCACGTTTCTTCCAGAACACGTTTTCTTTGAGGGCTCGACAGAAGGTTCGTTGGCTTTCGCCGTGCTAGTGATTTCTTCGAGGACTGACGGATATTCCGTCACTTGTGTATTATTGGGAATGCTCAGTTCTAGGCTCATGGGATTGCCTTCTACGTAGGCCAGTTTCAGACGGTCGATGCTAAAGGTGTCTTCGCGGCCTTTTTTTGTCTAAGACAAAGAATTTATCAATACGTTTAATGACTTTATATGGTCCGTCGTATGGGGCTTCCAGAGGGTGACGTACACAGTCACGACGAACAAATGTGTGTGAAGAAGTTTTCAAACATGGGTGAGCGAAGACGTCTGTGGACTGTGGTAGAAGGGCAGTATGTTTAACTGAACACATTGCGTTTGTAAGCCTGGCGACGTATGAAGCGTGATCTACCGCTGGTGGGAAACCAGAGGGAGAAACGAACTCACTTGGCAATCGAAGTGATGTTCATGCACTAGCTTGGCAGAAGTACAACCAGCATCAGTTTTTAAGGCATTTCGTATGTCTAGGAGAACTAACGGTAGTGACTCAGTTCAATGTTCACTGTTTGCTGCTGATAACCCAGTCTTCAACTGTCGGTGTCGACGTTCTACCATACCATTAGCTTGGGGATGGTAGGATGTTGTTCTAAAACGCATACAACCTATGATTTTAGTCAAGGCGAAGAATAAGCTGCTTTCGAATTGCCACTCCCGATCAGTTGTTATGGAGGATGAGCATCCAGAACTTTTGGTTCACAGTTCGACAAAGACGCATGTGACTGTTTCAGCAGATACATCCTTAGGGGTACTGCTTCAGGCCATCGTGTGAAACGGTCGATGCAGGTTAAGATATAGATATATCCATGAGATTCTGCAATGGGTCTAACCAGATCTACATGGACGTCTTCGAAACGAGCATCAAAAATAAGAAAGGTGCCAAGAGGGCTTTTGGCGTGTCTTACTGCAATGCACTTTTGGTAAGCTAAGCACATGTGTGCCCATTCCCTTACTTCTTTATTCATACCAGGCCAACAAAACCGACTAGTTACGAGCTTGACGATAGTTCGAAAACCTGGGTGGGATAAACCACGCAACGTTTGAGGACGTTACGGTGATAACTTTTGGGCACGATGGGACGAGGAGTACTCGTGAAAATGTCACATAGAATAGTGTCTCTTCCTATACTTAAGGGTTTCTCGGCTAATTACAGTGTTGTTTTCAACAACTCATGTTGACGCTCACTATCTTCTTTTTGAAGACGAGCCAGTTCTACAAGGTCTATGCCACCTATTTGGGTGAGGGAACAAACGCGCAACAAGGCATCTGCCGCAGTGTTGTTCACTCTGGCTACATGGCGAATATCCGATGTAAACTGTGAAATGTAGTACAGTTGTCGTGATTCTCTGGGTGAATACTTATCTGAAGATGAGTCCAGAGAGTACATCAGAAGTTTGTGGTCAGTGAAAACTATGAATTCACGACCTTCCACGACGTTTTCGCGAACGTCTACGAGTAAATCATGATGATTAAGTAGGTCTGTGTCGATGATGGGCATTGTGACGTCAGCGGGAAGGAGAATCCACTGAATAGGTTTGCGCACACCTACGTTCAGATAGACGTATTTCCTATCAAAGGATGCAATTAGTTTTCCATCCGCAACCTGTAGGTTGAGGGTAGGTTCCTCCTGTTGATCTGTTGCAGCAGCAGGACGGACGGTGTCTTCGGTGCCTGTGTCGACTAAGTACCGCGTTTTGTTCACTACATTACTTATGTATAGAAGGTGGCTACTGCCTTCGATGACTTTTGTTGCTACTGTTTACCAGCGAGAAAGGTTCTCATATGCTTGAAGTCTTTTCCAGAATTTCAGGATTTTGTGTAGGATTTCGCTCATATACCAAATTGTTTTTGAAATTAACTCCAGTTTTCTTTTGAAATAATCCCTGCATTCTGGCATCCGCGCTGTGAGAACTAGTGGACTGGTTGAAATGTATCCAGTCAGTGACAACATTTTCCTTTTTTGTGAATAACTGGATGACTGTAATGGATCTGGAAATACAATCTAGCAATCTATTTATGAGCTGTTTGACTGCTAAATAGGCAGCTATTTGTTGTATAACATTTAGACGTTCTTCGTACAACTTATTATAGTTAAGATTGATTTGTTGTAGGACGTCAGTGGATAATGAGCACTATTCGCTGCAACCAAGAAATGATTGACAAGAAATAAGTAATTCTATGAAAACTTCAAACGCGAATACTGCATTGGACATCGAAGGGCGCTCCTTGCGAACTTCTAGGTCATTCGCTGGAGTTACCTGAAAGTGTAACGCAATAGAAACCAATATAATGCCACTAAACAAGTTTCTTTTTCTTCTTTTTCAGAAAGAAACCTCAACGTGGCATCACTAGAGCAAGAGGAAGATCAGCTCTCTAAACTTGTTATAAATGACGATAAGTAACTTGTACCCCGGGCTATTCAAGCCTCGTTTTGCTTGAAATAAACGCATCTTACTCGCCGTCTGGCGAAGTTCTACAATAGAGTCCCAAGGTTGCAAATGTTCCAATGACCTTGTGAATGTTCCAATGACCCTGAACGCATGCTAGTCATTGGTTGAGGAAGCTCACCATTATTCTAGCGCGAATAATTGTGCGTACTGGTAAGTGACACTGAATTAATTGTCTTCTAGGAACTTTCTTTGAAAAGTTGAAACTGTCTTTGACGATTGGTTGTTAGTGGTGTCGAAAGTTTAAATTTTCCTGAATATCTTGTTACTGTCCAATTACTGGGTGCCAGAGCGAATAACGTTTGGGTTTTAGGAATTTATGACACCTAGATTCGCAAAGGGTTTATGGAGCTGATTCTAGATAGTAGTGCTGATACACTCCTCCCTATTATTCAGCGTCTAGTGTTACCAGGCACCACCATTCACACAGATGAATGGGCGGGATATAGCCAATTATCGCAATTGGGATATATGCACCATAGAGTGAACCATTCGAATGATTCCGTCGATCCTGTCACCGGTACTCATGATAATTCCACCGAAGGTTTCTGGGGAAGGCTGAAAAATAGAATCCGAGCTATCAACGGATCACAAAACGATGTTATTTTCAGTCATTTGGATGAATATATGCATAGAAATTGGTTTAATTTAAAAACTGCAACTCCTCTTAATAACTGGAACATTTTTTATCTGATATTACAGAAAAGTACCCTGTTTGATTTTTTTTCATGCTTATTTATGCGAAAATACGTAAAATGTTATGCAAAAATCACCCTTTTTTCTGACTGGTCTGTTCAAGGTCACTTGTGCGTTCATTCCTTGGGACTCTATTGTAGAACTTCGCCCGCCGTCTTTGTCTTCTTCCATCGTTCGACGTGTTTGCGGTCTGAGTGTTATAAAAGACGCTATAGTCAGTTTCAAGGTCATGATGGGTTCCTGCGTCTTCTGGTTATGTGTTTTCGTGAATCCGTTTTCCATTGAATTTTAAAGGTTTTTTTGAACGTTTTGCTTGTTTTGGAGTATGTAGGTCAGTTTTTTGTCACTGGATGCTACTAAGACGTTTATTTTTAGCTTGCAGTTCCCAGTTTTTATGTTGGCAGTTAAGGATTATGGTAAATCTGCAATCATTGAGCCAATTCACGTATACTATGCTAATATAGTAACTTTTCTCAGTAATTAAACGCCTTAACTGTTCTGCCATTGTTGGATCAAACAGTGGCAGAACAGTTACGGATTATTTGCTTAAGGTAGAACTGTGCGCTGGTTTATCATCATGACTGGCACCAATTCAGCACCTTGTTCTTATTCTACGCATTATCAGAAGTAGCTTATCAGCCTTATTGCAGCCCTTCTAGTCCAGGTTCTGCTCCTCCCAAGCTTACCATAATGCTGAATTAAATCTCACTAATTCTGAAATAATTCCAACGTCCTATAGTAAGTAAATGCTGAATCTGTTCTTAAATAGACTCTTTAATGTCACAGTCTAGAACTCAGTTTTGGTTTTCAGCATGACTGACACTAATTCAACACCATGTTCTTTTTGTAGACATTTTCAGTAGTAGATGAGAACCTACTGGTTATGCTTATCAGCTTTATTTAAACCCTTTGAGCTCATCTTCAGTACGGACTAGCTTAACTTCAGAAGAAAAAGACTTAATTTAGCACATAGTGGCAATGTTTTGAGCTTAAATTTGGAAATTATATTTGGAAACTGTAGTACAATGTCACTGAAAATCCATCAAGTTAGGTCCACTGGTAGCACCCTGTAAATAAGCAAAATAAAATATCAGTTGACGAAACATTGTGCTCATCACATTCTCAGCATTTGCATTTAGAAAAGTTTGCTTACATAACTGCCACTGTTATATTCCCTGCTATCTTTTCCATTTGCCTAGAAATAAAAACAATGTTGTGATTACTAGATGTTGTCTTAACGTTAACCTGTAAAACGGTTTAAAAGTATTACCTGAATTCCTTTCTTGAGGTTACGCCTTTGGACACGATCTTTCAAATTATGAATGTACGATTTCGTGGCCTAATCCATTATGTCACCAACCCCTCTCGATGTCATCAGTTGGTCGCTACAGAAATAAGTACTTCATTAATGAACCTTACATCTCGTGACTGAATTTCGAACATCTGAATATCCCTAAATTCCTTGATTTAAATGGTGTATTAAAATCATCACTAAAATCACAGTAGGGTCGAAAGCGTATCCTATCTTCACTTTCCATTTCAACTATATTCCCCCGGTTTACCTGAGGCTAAGATTACATTGTCCGGAGAATAAGAAGTAAATATGACGTTCAGATAAGTTAACTTTCCTTTGCTAAACTTAACGCCTCTAGTACTAGCTTCTTTAGGTACATGCTTGACACCTGTACTTTTCATTAAGTGCACGTGCTCAACATAACGCTGAGTTGCCTGCTTAGCCACAACATATCCACATTGCACGAACTGTCTGATCATGCGCATATAGAATTCAAAGGGAAATGCACTGAATCCCTCTAATAGCCCATGCAGCTCGACATCATCCACTGTACGTTTCATAAAATGAATATTGTAAACAATATGTTCATCTCCGAAACAGTTCTCATATTGCAGTAAGAAATTACTCCAATCTGTCCGAACAGCATCCAAAAACAGCCGGCTGTATTTGGTACTCGAAAGTAAGTATACTGACAGGGAAAATTTCCTATAATTATAGTACAGGGGGGAGGCAGAATGTTACTGAGTAGACGAGACTTTAATATAGTAGCTTTTTAGAAGGACCAGGGTTATTTCAGTACATACTGGGTTCACTTCAAGTAGATAAAATATTCATTTACCGTAAAAAGGCATTATTGACGCGTTGGTTAGACTTTGCTGAGAATTGTTGCAAGGTTGGTATTTTAAGCGTCCCAAGCTTACTAAACTATACCTCCAAAGTGCATTCATACCTCACAAACTTATATTTCATAGGGCCAGATGGGTCTTTTTCACCTGAATCAAGCCGTTAAGATGTGTTGGATTCCTTTCAAATAATTAATGAACAATTTAGTTGTTACCTTCATAAATGTATCAAAAGCTTGCTTAAGTTGCACCCACGTATAAAATACACAACTAAGCATTATTCTTTGGAATAAAGCCATTACATCAGACAATATAGATGACACATTTCGTGTAGTAGAGGCTGCAGGAGTATCTTGTAACGTCATGTAATGGTTTTAACAATGACCAACGAACACAACATAATTTGAAGTAGATGAATAATAGTATATATTTCAGTGCTCATAAACCACTGTTGTGACCTAGTACATTTAATTGATTTATGCTGACCTAATATGCACAAATCCCACAGGTCACCAAACTAACAACTTAAAAAAGTGGATCAGTTAATACGTACATTTATCTATACGTTCTAATTAAAGACACATTATATGTTTAGAAATTGTAGTTGAATTATATTCGCCTAGTAAGCAAAAATGCATACATCCTATTTTGGGCTTAAAATAAATGCATCTAAATTGTTGTTAATTTATATTCACTTGCTAGACATTCCCATATATCTCAGTGTACTTTAAATACTACAAATGCATCCAAATAGCGTGTGACTATCACACTACACTCACACCAAAAAAATTAACACGCCGTTATATTATGGTAAGTTAAGCCTGACTGTAAACTGACTGTAAATTTCCGTGTCAAAATAAAGAGACTGCCATTTTAACTTATATTTTAGACCAATAAGAAGCCAGCTAGCCAACAGCCAATCAAAATCTGCCTATATCGCTTTTCGAGTTACCTAAAGGAGGTAGAAGAGACGAGAGACAGTATATCCAGACTCTGAGTCATATTGGATTTCTGTGTCAACTGATTTTGCATTTGCGTTAATTCGTTTGTCATTGAAATTTTGAAGGTTTTTTGGACGTTTTGCACATTTTAAATTGTTGAGGTCAGTATTGACACGGGATACAACTTTAAGGCTTATTTTTAGTCTGTATTTGAGTTATTACGTTGATATTTAGCGTCTGTGGTAAACCCGCAATCATTGAGCTAATTTGTGTATACTAGGCTAAGGTGGTAAACTGTCCATAGCCCAAAATGAAATTTAATTGCAGTCTTGTTAACCCCTCAAGCGTTCTATAATGCTGAAGTAAATCTCACAAACTCCGAACTAACTGTGAATTTCTATACTGAGTAAATCCTTAAATTGTTTTGAAATGGTTTGATTATGTGCAAAAATTTGAACTGTGGTTTGTTCTTATGCATGACTGGTATTAATTCAGCACCCTGTTCTTCTCTTAGGCATTTCAAGAGGTAGTTTAAAACCTACTGTGTTTGCTTATCAGCCCTATTTCAGCCCTTTTAGGCCATATTAAGCATCCAGTGCTCTTTTTAAGAATGAACACCATTATTTCTATACATACTGGGTTCGTTTCAAGTAGATAAAATATTCATCTGTCATAAGGCGTTATTGAAGCGTATGTTAGAATTAGTTTAGATTTGTTGTCAGGTAGGGACTTTAAGCGTCTCTATGGCATAAGCAATGTATCCTATTAGTTACTGTTATTCAAGAAAAGTGCTACTGCCAATTCCACGGTGAAAGTGCGTTATCTCGTCTTCTGGCAATGCTCCCCTGTTCATTAGTTTCCTATTGAGATCTACAGTTCTTTGTAACGTTTTAATGTGTCCTTCACAGAAGTACCAAGTGTGCCTTAGAGTAATTGAAACAGTCTTCAAAGGCTTGTTCTCAAGCTTACAGTAATACCAAGCTATTTTTAAAGTATGCCTCGATAATGATGTCCGTTGCTAAATGAATATTTCGTGTTCTTAATAGAAACCGAGTATGTACTGAGCACATACGGAGTATAATTTTGAAATTTACTCACTATAGGGAAAAAGCATTGGTTCATAGTGCGTGAGGTTTGCTTCAGCAAAATTGTCAGGTTGGGTGAAAATCGCAATGAGCTTATAGTCAAATACATTAGATATTACGGCTCACTGTCTGATAAAAATGCGCATAGAATAGTTAAATAATGGCTAGAATTATGAGGTACTGGTTAAATGTTAGCCTAAATGGGAAAAATCATGTCATATAACTAAAATTCGCCCATTATTTTGTGTCATTGGCCATGCCAGTCATTTGTCCATTATCCACCCATTTTTGTACGATTGAGTTGTTTGACATTTCATTATAAAATCTGGTGTTTTGCAAGTCGTCAGATATCGTTTTAGTGCTTTTGATGAAGAAACAATCCAGAATCATACGAAAGCTACCAAAGACATATTTGTGAAATTTTAATCTTGAAAGCCTTTGAAATTTTTGCAGTATTTTCACTAATATATATTTAGCCTAAGACAGTAATTGGTACAAGCAAGGATCAACTAATCGTGTTTTGGTTTTTGTTTAAGTTTAAATGTTGATTATCTACTGCCCCATAGTATTTAGCGTAGGGCTGCATACATATAACGTCTACCGTCGTGCTCCATCTACAGAAATTTCTGTAGCGAGGTAGTTTCATCGGTACCAGGCAACTGGAAATTGTTACTGAGTGACATTTCTTATTTTCCTTATTTTTACTTCACTATATTAGACATTTGAATGGAGATTTGCGTAGTAAGATGATATGTAGTTCATACTAAATTCTCAGCACTAACATGCGTTACATTTTTTCGATTGTTGTCAGTTTTCAAGGAAGTCTAGTGCTTCGGAAATAGGCAGTACTGATGTATTTTCTGACAAAATAATGCATAGAAAAACTTCATTTCGCGCAACAAGGTTACGTACACACCTTGAGATTTGTTTCATTCGACATGTTTTTTTCTCAGCCTACGTTGGAAAATCATATGTATAGCATTCTGAGCAATCAGACTAAGTTATGTATGTTTTACTGTACTTGCACATTTTTTTTGTAGGCCATTACATTGGTTAAAGCATGAATCCTGCTTACGATAATGCCTTACTAGGCATCTTGCAGAATGAGGGAAAGTTGGAGAAGTTTCTAGACGTGATATTCGGGTTTCTAATGCGCAGGTATAAATTGCAATGTCAATTTAATTGTTTTGAGGACTGATTTTTATTGTATTATGACGCCAGAACATAAGAAAATAGGTTTTCCTGCCGGTATGAGTATTCAAATGGTTCTTCAGGTATGTTTTACTCTCAAAGTAATTTAAGGCTTATGAAAAATACAAAACGATATTTGAGAATTATCAGCATCACCATGAAGCACAAGCATCAGTCAATAAACCCACAAGTAAGATTATTTTATTATTTAATCTTCAGAATTCCAAAAAGAAGTTGCTAAAAAAGAATTGACACAAGCCGATCCTGTTGTACCACATTCAGATGGCAGTAAAACTGGAAGTTCATCAAAAGTTACGATCCCAACACCAGAAACTACAAACGAAGAGTAAGTGTTTGTTTACGAATTCAATTCATTATACTTAGTAGTGATGAACCGGGAGTATACATAGCAGACGCAGATTGCTATAATGGTGCTGTAAGAGATAATTATACATGGAGTCAAACTGTCAAAGATATTGATATTAAAATTAAAGTACTTCTGAATTAATTTTAAATACCTTCTTTCATATATAGATGCCAGACAGTGTTGCAAATGCTCGTGACGTATCCGTGAATATTGAACGCAAACATATTCGTGTTATCCTTCGACAGGATGGAGATGAGACTGTTTATTTTGATCGGCATTTGTGTTGGGATATCCATAAGGATGAAGCTATATGGACCTTTGATGCAAAGGAAAATCAAGTTAGTCACAAATCTGTTGTTAACAACTCGTCTCAATTTTAAATGATTAACATATTTAAACTCCCAAAAGTGTGAAATTACTTATGCAGCGTATTTTGAGTTTCTATGGGCTTACCTTTTCTTAGTTAGACACTGTTTCAGTTGTAATAGGTGTTTGTAATGAGTATTTATTTCGATTTTTGTTGACCATAGCAAGTGAATGATTATTCTTGATTTTAATTTCATGAAGGACAGAATTCATTGGGTCAGGAGCTCTAAATGAATCTTTTAGCATAATAACACGAGAAATACTTCTTATAAAGATGCAGTATAGCGACAAATGTAGTATTGTGGTGAGAGTTGTCTGCAAGCCAAAATTGTAGACAGCAATTTATGTCAGCGTTCACTTCTCGAATCAGGGTCATGAGAAAAACAGTAACAAAGCTTAACCTTGAGAAAATCACCAGCCAATCACAGCGGAGTTAAAGTGTGGAAATATGATTCACAGATAGGTGGCTTGATTTTCTGAGAAAGGGTCACAAAGAAATGACAGAATAACCTTCAGCAGGAGAACAACCAATCAGAAGAGACTGCTTCTCCGCTAATAATCATGCACATAAAAATATATAAATACCTCTTGATTTTCCCAATAAACGATTTGTTACCTGGCCCTTGTCTTCTGTCGTTACAATATAACTTGGAACTTAGTAAAGCACCATCGCTATCAAAGCTGGTTGCTTCAGTGTTATAAAATAAATGCATATTATTCGACATGTGTATCTAAAACTGTTGGAATGACATGCATACATCTACGGAAAAAATTAGTCTAACAAACAGGTTCAACCTTGAGGAAGAATATGATAGATTGCAGGATATGTTGGAAAACACTTCGACTACAGTTCCTGTTACAACTTGTTTGTATTCGAAATGTGATCCCAAATATTGTTATCAGATATGATGTTGGGGATAATAATAATACTAATTTCTAGCTTGATCTTAATTATGTCATTTAGTAAATGAATGTAATTGATCAATGCTTATCAAAAAGTATACAACCATATTTTACCTGATTTCTTGAATAAAGATCCACTTATGTTTGGACAAAGTTCAAGATCGTTGGTGGGTGGCAGCGTTTGATGGTGAAGACAAAATAAACCCTCGTAAAATTGACTGCTCTCGGCCTATCCACGAATTAGAACCCGAAGCCCAAGCTAAAATACAACAACTAATGTATGATGCACATCGTAAACGTCAGGGATTACCTACCAGTGAGCAAGAAGTAAGTTTTGGTTTTAATAGCGCTCATTGACACATTCGTCAATTTAAATAATTTTTTGGTGTTATAATTACTGCCAGTCATGTAATGTCAGTAATATGTCAAAAATCAGTCCTTCAACCGAAAAAAGTATAAATCATTAATAAGATAGAATTTAACTGGTGGATGGTGACTAGCAGTGGAATCCAGGATGCGCATCTCGTCCTAGTTGGGACTCGTCATCTGGATGTAGGTGGTTCTCGTGGCCCAAGTGGTCTAGTGGATAACGCTGTGGCGTTTGAAACTATGGACACTGGGTTCGAGCCTCAGTGGGAGCATCACCACTCACTGGAGAATTCAGGTACATATGACGAGTCCCAAATAAGACGAAATGCGCATCCTGGATTCCACTGCTAGTCACCATCCACCAGTTAAATTCTAATTACATGCCCAAACATCATCGAAGCATCTGCACAAGAAGTCAACTTGTCAACCTGAGACTGAGCACTTCGGTCCAATCAGTCGATGGGAAAATCTAAAATTCAATTAAATCATTAATAAGATAACCATCATAACCCTCCCTTTTCTTAATGATCGATCGGATTAATCAAAACTCAAATTTGTCCACATTTTATCGTCAGAATTTTCAATACCTTCGCTACCCTTATTACTAATTGGTGGATGTTGACTAACAGTGAAATCTGGGATGAACTTTCCGTGCTATTTGGGATCTGTCAGCCAGGTGTACGCGCATTCCCAGTGAGTGATGGGATTCAAACCCGGTAGCCATCGTTTCAAACTCCCAAGCGTTATCCAGTATGCCATTTGAGCCATGAGAGCCACTTTTCTGTGTAATGGGTATCAATTATTATTTGTTTAATTTAATATTTCGCGTTAATTGATCATATTACTATTGTTCCCTTGGGTTCCGAGTGGAAAATTGTGCTTCAACAGTTCATCTCCACTTTGTCCTATTCTCTGCGGTCCTTTTTATCTGACCCCACGATTGTCTATGGTCTCTAATCTCCTCCTCGTACAATCTGCTCCATGTCACCCTCGGATGCTCAACTCGTCTTTTCTCATTCGGGTTGCATTCTAGGCTCTGTCTAACGAGCGCTGTCACTCAACGGTCTTCTCAACGTGTGTCTAATCCATCTCGATTTTCTTCGGCATATTTATTGAGGAATCGATTTTTGGTTGGTTTGTTGCCGAATTTCCTTGTTGCTTATTCTTTCCGGCCATCTTATATTCAGTAGGGAGCCAGTGAAGGTAGCTGTTGATAAAAGTCTGCAACAGGTTGTCGAAAGTAGTCTTGGTGAGACGCACCAAGTTTCTGAACCATATAGAAGCACTGACTTGACATTGGTGCTAAATATCGGGATGTTTTTCTTGACTCTCTGTGTGCAACAGATTTTCATGCTGATTTCAAATTAACGAACGTCTGTCCTACCTTTCCGGTCCTGCTTTCGGCATCCTCATCTGTGCTGCTCAAATAAGCGAAAGAAGTGATTTCCTTTCTAATTTCCTCCCGTTAATGTCAGTTGGGGCTTGCTTCTGTCGGTTATGTATCGTTATCACTTCTCTTTTGTCTGTGTTCATTTGAAATCCTGTCTTCTCTGCTTCGTCTGCTAACTTGTTGGTTTTTGCCTGTAAGTCTTCAAATCAATGTCACATTAGGCATAAATCGTCCGCGAAGTTCAGGTCCTCTAGAATCTTGTCGTCCAACGTAGTCCTGTCTTCTCTCCCCCCACGGTGTTCTGCATAATCTAGTCCACCACAATTAGGGATATTATTGGTGACCCACCTGTTGACCCTCCTTGCTTCTAGTACTACCAGTGGCTTCGAAGATGTCTGGGGATTATCACTTTATTTGATGGATGCTGATCATCAGCAGTGAGGTCCAAAATGCTAACAGAGATGAAACATTTTGCTGCAATACAATCAGTCAATGGGAAATACAAATTTAAACTAAACAAATGTTTTACACCCAAGGAAAGCACAAAGAAAATCGCCCTACCATATATAAAGAACATCTCGGAAATCACTGCAAGACTCTTCAAACCTTTAGGAATTGACGTCGCACACAAACCAACAAAATCACTTCACTCGGCTGGCTCTACGTCAACCAAAAGATTCAACAACGAAAGAAGATAAAACCAACATCATCTACAAAATAAATTGTAATAACTGCGAAAACACTACATTGGCCAAAGTAGACGTATCCATGACCATAAGCTGGCCATCAAAAACATGACATCCACTCCCTCCCACTACATACAGATAACCACGGACATGAATTCGACTGGGACAACATGTTCAAATATTAGACAGAGGAAACACCAAGAATGCTAGAGAATTTTTTAGAAGCCTGGTATTCCAGTGAATCATCAATCAATACACACATCGAGATAGACAAAATTTGCCAACCGATAAGAAGGAAACCTCACACATAAAGAGTCAAAGAAACAATCAGTTCCAATACAAGTAGCCTAGAGGGTGTGAAAATACGCAAAAGCAACTAACCACGTCCAAGGTCACCAGGAGAGATGATTAATAAACTCGTGGAGAAATCTGAAAGCTCACTTCAAATTGAAGTATGCGCTGAAGATGTTGCCTAGTAGGGCGATGAAAGCTTCGCAAATTAACTACCCAGCTCAGAGAACACAACCACATCAAATCACCCATCGCTTAATTATCGTTCCTAATTTTTCGAAAATTTGTAGTCATACTTTCTTTTTGTTTACATTTGTCAATACCGTTTTAAAATGTTACATTTTGACCAAGTACATTTTTCTGCAAGGCTGTAAGTTGATCCCTGTTTCTTGTAATCATCTTCATTAAACTGCACGATGAACACCTAATCTTAAGTCACTTTACAGGTGCTACTGTATTTTCTCTCCGATCAACTCCGTTAGAAAACTGGATTTTTTTTTCTTTTCAAAATTATGTCAAGCTCAATGCTTTTTTTTTGGTTAGAAATGTTCCAATATGATATGCATTAAGAACGCATAAGTAAGCAAAGAGATCTGTTTTCGTAACTTCTCTTCAAATTGGAAGTGGATCACAAAAATGACAAATTACAAGAGTGAATGCATCTGCGCCATCATCGAGAACGATTTTGAGCCATATCACAGATTGTCTCCAGCTGTCAATGGTTCTTACTATCCCGAGGACCCCAATCAGGAGGCCTAAACCTTCCTACGTGGCTTAAAGTAACTGTTGTGAATTTCATTGAATGATGAAGCCATGCTTTAGTTTGACCACCACTGGCTCTTTTCTAACCTGACCCTATGTCAACTAAAATTGCCCATCGAGGAAGGCGATGGCTAGGCATACGTAAAACATGTCCTAACCATCCCAGTCGGTGTCACTTCACAACCTCGTCGATTGATTTCCCCCCACTCGATGCCTAACCTCAATATTACTCAACCTATTATACCACTTCACACTGCTAATGCTGCATGATCAGAAGCAATAATGTGCTCCAGAACTAAGCTGTCAGCTGTTCCGTGTTCCTTCATTTAACAACCATGCTGGTAGCTGTTCATGAGCGTAACCACACGATGCTTTGCTGGCACGGCCTATGTACTTAATTCCCCTGGATCAAGTGAATTGCTAAATACACAATGGAGTTGCCAAGAGCAGGATATGTATTGTCTTTGGTGTTTTGGTGAACCAGAGCATGCGGAGAAAAGGTGAGGCGTAGAATTATAGCGAAGAAGGTTCTTCAAATTCCTTTCAATAGATGGCTTTGGAAGACCTCAATAATTGTATCAACTTTGAATTCTAGATTTACTAGTTTTTTCTTCGGTACATTCGAGTTTTGCGGAACATTGTTCATTCTCTTTAAATGTTTACTGACAGAAGTTGGATATCTATTCGGATGCACAAATCCAGTTTGACAAAACTTTTTACGGCCAAATAGATGGTGTAACTATGGGCAGTCCACTTAGCTGATATCTTCATGTTCACCCTTGAGAAAACAAAGTTAAAGCAGGCAATCGACGAAACCACGTCTTACTGTCGATATCTTAATGACACATTTTTAGTATGCAACAACCAAAGTCATGCTTCGTGCCTACTTGGATTGTTGCACGATGCACGTACAAATATTGAATTTGCTATGAAACATGAAAATGATGGATAGTTCCATTTCCTTGACATTACCATGCAACGCCTGGAAGATGGTAGTCTCCAGAGGTCATTTTACCGAAAGCCTATATGGAATGGACAGTACCTACATTTTAATAGCTTTTGTCCAAATAGCTTTAAACGAGCACTAGTCAACACTCTATACTATAGAGCAAGGAGAATATGCTCCACAGAAAAATTAGAGGAAGAATTTATGTTTCTCGAAAAGATTTTGGAAAACAACGGTTATCCGCAGAGATTCATTGATAAATATTGAATATGTGAAGGCTCAAATGTCAAGCAAATCACAGTGGAAAAAAATTCCGTCTTTATTCAACTAGATTTTAAAGGTGATAAGATTGCAGCAACAGTCAACAGAAGATTAAGTACTTCACTAGCGAGAGTCTATCCTGCAGCTAAGTTGATTCCCGTCTATCGGAAAATATGCACTTTGGTACAGTCAAAATCAACAGAGACCCTTCTCATGTTAACTCCAACTGTGTATACAAATTTACGTGTATCTACGGGAGCAGATACACTGGAAGGGCAGAAAGAAAAGCACACCTAATTTTCTGAACATGTACCAAAAAGCGTACGCCTCAAGGGAACAAACGCTTACAATAGTGCCATTACCAGGCATCTCCTTGATACGGGTCATCAGGTGGAAAAATTAAATTAAAATTATTAATAGACAACAAAGCTCAATTCTCCTTAAGTTTGCCGAAGTAATTTCCATAAAACCCGATTTATGTGTTCAGAGAGAAGCAGTGGTCAGTCTTTCCTTGCCTTGGTAACTGGATGTCTTTATTCTCCTTCACTTGATTACGTAATCCTTGGCTTTAACCTCACCCTCCTTGAAAGAGTGTAATTTTGCTTGTCTCTTGGTTGACACTTGCGTAACGCTTAATAAATTTCAGCGGGTAATTGTTATCTGACAATATTTCAGTGAGGTGTTGTGTTTCTTCTCCTCAATTGTGTTGGCAATACATATACGGTGAGTGCGTTTGAATAAACACTTAACCAACGCCTTTGTATACTGTAGTGGACAGAAACTATGATAATTTAGATACTGTCCCGTTCATGTGAACTTTCTGTAGACAGATCCTTTTACTGACCCATCTTATCGGTGGGTTGTGAGTACATCTAAAAATGACAGGCAACCATTATTCTCTTCAACGTATGTTAGCGATATGCTGTTTTGGACCCTGTTGATCTGGTTTAGGATTTCTATGGCGTCTGTCGGTTTATCACAAATGACTATTATGTCATCCACGTATCTCTTATAAAAATAAACTTTTCCGACCACGCCCTCCACTAGGTTCTGAACATGTCTTATGTATATATATATATATATATATATATATATATATATATATATGTACTGCCAACACAATTGAAGAAGAAACCTCACTGAAATATTGTCAGGTAACAATTACCCACTGAAATTCATTAAGCATTACGGAAGTGTTAACCAAAGAGCTCTACCGATCCAATCAGCTTGCAAAAAAGATTTTTATAGATCCTTGCCGTTTAGGGGTGATCAACAAAGTTTGGTCACTAAACAAAGACTCAAGGCGGCAATTATTAGGACTTTCTGTGCAGCTAAACCTATCTTCATAGACAAAATGAGATTTATGCAATCTTGTAAACCCTCACAGCATCCGAACGATAGTGTCACATCCCACTGTGGTTATCAATTTACTACATGTATGTGTGGACACACGTACTTAGGGAGGACCCATCGATCTCTGCAGGTTAGGGCTACAGAACATATCCCAAAGTGGCTGCAACAACAAATGAAATCACTGGATACAACTGATCCCGGAAATAGATGCCCAACATCATCTATAGCGAAGCACATTTTAGAGATGGGTCATAAGGTTGATGTCAGTAATACCTTTAAACACGCTTATAAAACAAATTTAAGTCACATACTTAAATTCGTTGAGACCTTGACCATAAAAAGACTCTTAAACCTGTCTTATGTGTCCAAAAGTTATTTGTTATTACTT